AAACAAGTCAGCAGCCTTAATATTGACCTTACCCCAACCTGCTGGGCTATTGCTTGGGAAAGAAACTCAGAAAGAATATAAAGGAAAAGGCCCAAGATTACATCCTCCTATCATGCAATAGGACATGTGCATTACCCATTTTAATTTATTTATTTTGGTACAAACACATACCAAAAAGGTTCATTAAATAAAATAAAATGGGTAATGCACATGTATATCTTTTCACATAGAACAGAGAGAACTCCAGTCAAAATATTAGGGGGAAAGGTGATTTTCTAAAATGTGAATGTCTTTCTAACAGAGGTGATTATTAAAAGGAGGCAAATTATTATAATTATTACTAGGTGACAAAAAGCTTTGAGAAAACACACACAGATGCGGGTTTTGTTGAGGTTATTTTGGAGGGAAGTGGGGAGTGGCTATGGAAGGGAGGAGCTAAGAGCAAAGAACAAGCATGGAATTGTTACAGCTCCAAGGCTCCTTCACACAGTTTTTTTTTTTGTTTTTTTGCCAAACACACACACTCCTGTTCTCTCCCCTCTTTATTTCTGGCCCAAAGTTCTTCATGGTCTTAACTTTAGAAAAAGGCTCTCTCTGCCTCAGGGTTACTTTACCAACATTACCTTACAAATATGGCATAAATAAGACCTTCATAAGAGATGCCACCTCAGAATGCTTTACAACCCCGGTATGTTTCCACAGTTTGCACAGTGTATCAATTCTCCAAGAGAGAAACCACCGTCGGCTGCTTCCAGCTCTAGGCTAGGTTGCTCTCCAGTTACCAGGTAACTGACTCAGAATCCTGACGGTTCCCAGGCACAAACCGGTGGGACGAGGACAGTGGTGGAGAATGCTGATGAAGCCTGCTAGTTGCCCTTCAATAATCATGTTTCCTTTGTTCAGTAAAATAGGACTCTGTTTTTTTAAGGTGGGCACACAGCCAGGTGGAATAAAGGCTACAATTCCCAGTCGTATTTACAGCTAGGTGTGGCCTTGCGATTATATTCCTAGCCAATGGGACATAATCAGTGGTTGCTCCTAAATGTTTAGCAACCAGTTCTCTCTGGGAGGGAGAAGGGTGATGAGAGAGGCCGGGGTTTGTGGTGTTTGTGTTTGTAGCGTTTGCCAATCACCATGGCACAGATCATCCCACCAGGGGTCATCTCAGGCTTCCACCTGATGGCACAGAATGCGGCGGTGGGAAGAGCTGCAGCTCTCACAGGAATGCAGTGAAGTATTTTATGTGATTTCTGGGAAAAATCCTGAAAGAAGGAGACCAGCCTTACTGATGGGGTGGGCCCTTCCCCCTCCCTCCTCCCTGATGGCCAGAATGTAGACCCTAAGGAGGAAACCCTACAGAGGAAACTGTATAGAGAAATGCAGAGCCACAATGGAGAAGCCTCGGTCCCTGAGGCTCAGCTGCTGGGCTGGCCCTGGAATGCTCACCTGCCAACTTCATTTACGCAACAACTGTGAGAAAAAACAAACTCCTATCTCATAAATGCAACTGGTATTTGGTGTGCTCCCATTCCCAGTGGAACCTACCACAACTGAGGGCATCACGCGTGCTCAATAAGATAAGTAAGCCAAGCTAGGGTCATATCTGGTGGGATCACAAAGGATCCAGATTTGAAACAACAACAAAAAAGAAATGCCTGAACCTTTCTGGAAGGGATGCAGAGGATGGAGGGAGAATCACATATTGCTGAAGAGAGCAGCCAAAGGAAAAGGCACGAGAAAAGATGGCTCTCACCTCTCCACACCCCAGTCCCTCCTCTCTGGCCTGCAGACCCAGCACAAAGAGTGAGCAATCCCAGGCCAACAAGGCTGCCTCCGCACACCCCAGGGGCTAGCCTCCGCATACAGTCGGCCATAGGGGACGACTCTCCCACTAGGGGAGTCCAAATCCTCTGCCTGAGAAAGAGAGGCTGTTCTCAGACCTCCTTCTTCCAGAGCAGTTTTGCAAGGTCTAGAGGAGAAATGGTATAGGTAGGTCACTCAGGGGACAGTCTGAATGGACTTGGCAGCAGTAGGCAGGGTAGTATACCTGGCTTTCTGGAATATATTTGAAACGTATTGCTCAGGCCCAGGCTGGCCTGTTACTGTCTTTGTATTGTACAGTGGGTTCCAGACAAACACTGAATGACTTACTTACAATACAGGTAAAATTTATTACTTGCGAACCCTTCTCAAAAGTTAATATGCAAAGAGAAGATAATAGTGTCACGGGTATATTCTTACTGTGGACGGAAAGGGGGCTCTGCAATAAGCCTGACAGGCTCAGGGGGCCACATGCAGGCCCGACAAGCCCAGTGACCAAAAGTAACTGCACAGGATGGTCCGATCACAAATCCCTCACTGGGTAGGTCACAGCAGGTAGTCCCGTCCCAGGCCTACAGCTTCCTTAGCAAAGGTCAGTCCTCACAAGTGAGCTCTGTCCACTGTTCTTATGCATCCCGGATAACATACCTTTGAAATGTCAGAGTAACTTTCTTTTCTTACCCCTCAAAGGCGTAACCACCAGCACCAGAGCACCAGACCACAGAATCCTCACTGTTATTCCCTACATACCATCTGTATGTGCCGCAAATGTTCATTATTAACTATCCTGCACCCACCAATGCAAAAGTATGTGTTTCTCCTGTCCCTTAATCTACTACCAATGGATTTCATGCACCTTCCTTAGATCTCCTTTGATTCTTTTTTTTTAAATTAATTTTTTTAGAGACAGAAAGAGAGGAAGGGAGGGAGGGAAGGAAAGAGAAAGAGGAGGAAGAAGAGAGAGGGAGAGAGAGAAACATCAACCCATTGTTCCGATCATCTACGCATTCATTGGTTGATCCTTATATGTGCCTTGACCAGGGATCGAACCTGCAACCTTGGTATATCGGGACAACACTCTAACTGCACTACCCGGCCAGGACAAATCTCCTTTGATTGTAATGTATACAATAAACTGCAAGAGCGCCATTCTCCAGACCAGCTGAGATCTTGCTCCCCGGCATCTGTTGTCAGCTTGGCAAAAATAAACTCATAAAAATTCTCTACAGGTTTGGGCTTTTCCTGACTCAGCCACCTTTATCAAATTTCAGAACAGTCTCTCTAGGGAACAGGTGTGCACATGTCCCGCAAACAGCTCAGCAATGCTGAGCATCTGAGTGCATGGCTAGGCCACTCTGTGGGGATCCAAAAGGAAGTTTTCTATCGCTCTCCACCTGACGAGTCTCTGGTCTCTGACTGCATTTATTCCACTTCAGACTGAAGGACTCTTGTACAATCTCATGACCTCCAATCTCTCCTTCCCAACCATAACCACCTCCCTCCCAACACTGGAGATGCTAAGAACCTGCCCTGAGTTGGAGGTGCAAGGAGGGGGCACTCTTGG